GAGTTTACTTATGAAGAAGGGTTATCGGCTGTAAACGACGTTGGTGTTAGATTCTTTAGAATGGGGGAGAGAGAGAGAGGGAGGATGGAGCTTCGTGAACTGTGTGTTAACGTGATTGGGGATGGGCTGGTAGGTACTGCTCTTGCAAGTTGCTCTTTACACCCTTCCACTAAGGGTCTTTCTTTTACTTTTGATTTGCTTCCTGCTGAGGTTGGTGTTCTTCCTCCCTCCGATTGGTCGATCTTAGACGTTTATACTGAAAACATTATAGATGATAAAATAATCGCCGTGTTTTTGTTCATTACCATGCAGAAAGACAGAAGAGTTTCATCTATGCTGATGATCGTGCCATTACTGCTCAAGCAGGGAGCTTTGAGATGGTAGAACAGAAGCTCTCCGAAGCTCTAGGTGCTCTTACTGCCTATTACAGGGAAAACCAATGATCCCTAATCCATCTAAAACACAGACATGTGCCTTTCACCTTAAGAACAGACAAGCATCCCGAGCTCTGAGGATTACCTGGGAAGGAATCCCACTGGAGCATTGCAGCACACCCAAATACCTGGGAGTCTTGGACCGTGCTCTGACCTACAAGAAGCACTGCCTGAACATCAAGCAAAAAGTGGGTGCTAGAAACAATATCATATGAAAGCTGACTGGCACAACCTGGGGATCACAACCAGACACAGTGAAGACATCTGCCCTTGCGCTATGCTACTCTGCTGCTGAGTATGCATGCCCAGTGTGGAACACATCTCACCACACTAAAACAGTAGATGTGGCTCTTAATGAGACATGCCGCATTATCACAGGGTGTCTGCGCCCCACACCACTGGAGAAATTACACTGCTACCCGGTATTGCACCACCTGACATCCGCCGGGAAGTAGCAACCAATAGTGAAAGGACTAAGGCAGAGACATCTCTGGCCCAACCTCTGTTTGGGTATCAGCCAGAACGTCAGTGACTTAAATCAAGAAATAGTTTTCTAAGATCTACAGAGACACTCGCTGGAACACTCCAGCAAGCGAGAGTCCAAAAGTGGCAGGCTCAAACACCTCAACCAATGGGTGATACCAGATGAGAGACTCCCCCCTGGGCACACAGAAGACTGGGCGACTTGGAAGGCGCTGAACAGACTGCGCTCTGGCACCACGAGATGCAGAGCCAACCTTAAGAAATGGGGCTACAGGGTGGAATCCTCGGCATGCGAGTGCGGAGAAGAACAAACCACTGACCACCTGCTGCAATGCACCCTGAGCCCTGCCACATGCACAATGGAGGACCTTCTTGCGGCAACACCAGAGGCACTCCAAGTGGCCAGATACTGGTCAAAGGACATTTAATCAACTACCAAGTTTGCAAAATGTGTGGGTTTTTTTTATCTCTGTGTTTGTTTTGTTCTGTTAGAAATGTAATACAATGGTATGGTTGCTGATGACACGATAAATAAAAAAATAAAAAATAATGAAAAAGCAGCCCTTTGTAAGACCTTGTTTAGTCCCTCAAAGTTGTTGTTGTTGTTGTTGTTGTTGTTGTTGTTGTTGTTGTTGTTGTTGTTGTTAAAGCCCTTAGGGACAGTTTCTTGGGTCTCGTGCTCCTTTTGTATTTTTTTCAACCTCAGCCCCCCTTCTTTTTTTAACATGAGTGTTAACAAAATCCATAGATAACACAGTCCAAACAAAAAAAAATCTTTTCTTGGTGTCTTTGTTTTTAGGCCTGTTCCTGGGGTTATCTGGGGCACTGATTCAGAAAATTGCATTGCATAGACCACATCAGCTCTAAGTAATTACATATGGTTTCTGTGGGTGAGCAGATGGCAACTACTGGATGCCATATGATCTGTATCAGAAACTAGAGCTGATGTGGTCTATCCAATGCCATTTTCTGAATCAGCACCCCAGATGTTGGAGAGTGGTTCCTGATCAAAGTGGTCCCTGGTCAAGTGGTCCCTGGTCAAAAAAGTTGGGAAACAGGGGTCTACACTGACCATATAATAAAGTGCAAACTGCGCTATATGCCAGTGTAGATGGGGCCCAGGATAGACTGAATGTCCACAAAGTGAGGAGAATGACTGGAGGCAACTCCCCCTATGTCTTCCATTTGAGGAAGTTGTTCAGGACCAGCTCAGAATACATATTTGTTGGATGCTTTGATCAATCTTTCCTTCCACCAGAGTTTAGCCTATTTCAAACGGTAAGGAAACTTGGGAACTCCACATTTTTAGGACTATAGCCTCCATGCTCCCATTGGCCATGTCCCCATGCTGTTTAGATTCGTGATTCTCAACCTGTAGGTTCCCAGATGTTTTGGCCCTCAACTCCTAGAAATCCTAACAGCTGGTAAACTGGCTGGGATTTGTAGGAGCTGGAGGCCAAAACACCTGGGGACCCACAGGTTTAGATGGTCCAAACTTTTCCAAGAATTGTCAGCAACATATCAAGGACTGAGTCTTGGAGAGGAGAAGACATTCAAGGATTGAGAACATATTTGGTATTCAGAAGATGCAAAGTGTAATCTTTGTGATAACTCCCTTTCACAATTCACAGTTAAAATGTTAAGGCTCCACTTTAACTGCCACGGCAACATCAGTGGAATCCTGCAATTTGCAGTTTAGGTATTTAGAATTCATGCCAGAGAGTACTTCACTAACCTATGAATCCCATGGTTAAATGATGTCCAAATGCTATAATAGTGTAGTGTGAAAGAAAGCTACAGGGAGCCAGTATGATCAGGAAGGTTCAAGGTTCTAGGAAGCTAGCTACAGTTATCCTTTTTTGTTTATTACTAGCCATCCCCTGCCATGCGTTGCTGTGGCCCAGTCTGTGTATATGTGTTTTGTGTGTATGTATATATGTGTGTGTATATATTTGTGTATATGTGTGTATATGTGGTTTTGTGGGTGCATTGTAATGTATTTCTTATTTTTTGGCTTTTTAAGTCTCTTCTGCTGTGTTTTTCAGTGTTTTTATGAGAGATAATAATAATAATAATAATAATAATAATAATAATAATAATAACAACAACACTTTATTTGTACCCCGCTACCATCTCCCCAAGCGACTCGGTGTGGCTTACATGAGGCCAAGCCCACAATACATCAATAAACAATCAATACAATATAAATCATAATCACATGAACAAAATAGACAATAAGCAATCAACAGCAACATATAAACATTTAAAACCAAAGGCCGGGCCAAATGTGATAGATTAAAATTAAAAAATAGTGCTGATGTGAACCAGGTAGGATATAATTGGGATAGGATTTTTAGAGAGAATGAGGGAATACAGTCAATCCTAAGGCTCAACATCTACACAAATGACCAGCCACTGCCAGAAGGGACAGAGAGTTTTATCTATGCTGATGATCGTGCCATTACTGCTCAAGCAGGGAGCTTTGAGATGGTAAAACAGAAGCTTTCCGAAGCTCTAGGTGCTCTTACTGCCTATTACAGGGAAAACCAGCTGATCCCCAACCCATCTAAAACACAGACATGTGCCTTTCATCTCAAGAACAGAGAAGCATCCCGAGCTCTGAAGATCACCTGGGAAGGAATCCCACTGGAGCATTGCAGCGCACCCAAATACCTGGGAGTCACTCTGGACCGTGCTCTTACCTACAAGAAGCACTGCCTGAACATCAAGCAAAAAGTGGGTGCTAGAAACAATATCATACGAAAAGCTGACTGGCACAACCTGGGGATCACAACCAGATACAGTGAAGACATCTGCCCTTGCGCTGTGCTACTCTGCTGCTGAGTACGCATGCCCAGTGTGGAACACATCTCACCACACTAAAACAGTGGATGTGGCTCTTAATGAGACATGCCACATTATCACAGGGTGTCTGCGCCCTACACCACTGGAGAAATTACACTGCTTAGCCGGTATTGCACCACCTGACATCCGCCGGGAAGTAGCAGCCAATAGTGAAAGGACCAAGGCAGAGACATCTCCAGCTCATCCCCTGTTTGGGTATCAGCCAGCACGTCAACAACTTAAATCTAGAAATAGTTTTCTAAATCTACAGAGACACTCGCTGGAACACCTCAGCAAGCGAGAGTCCAAAAGTGGCAGGCTCAAACCCAGAACCTCAACCAATGGCTGATACCAAATGAGAGACTCCCCCCTGGGCACACAGGACTGGGCGACTTGGAAGGCGCTGAACAGACTGCGCTCTGGCACCACGAGATGCAGAGCCAACCTTCAGAAATGGGGCTACAAAGTGGAATCCTCGACATGCGAGTGCGGAGAGGAGCAAACCACTGACCACCTGCTTCAATGCAACCTGAGCCCTGCCACATGCACAATGGAGGACCTTCTTGCAGCAACACCAGAAGCACTCCAAGTGGCCAGATACTGGTCAAAGGACATTTAATCAACTACCAAACTCACAAATTTTGTATTATGTCTGTTTGTTTGCTTTGTTCTGTTAGAAATGTAATATAATTGACTGGCTGCCCTGACACGAAATAAATAAAAAATAAATCCTAAGGCAGTAGTAAAGTGCATTTTGAGGACATAATGCTGAGTTTTCTCCTTATTCTGGGAAGGCACACTGGAACAACCATGTTTTCAAGCTCCTCCTAAAGACTGCCAGAGCTGGGGCATGTCTGATGTCTCTGGGAAGTGAGTTCCAGAGTCGGGGGGCCACCACCAAGAAGGTCACTTGTTGGCCTGATAGGTGTGTTGTGTCCAAATTTGGTATCAATTTGCCCAGTGGTTTTTGAGTTATGTTAATCCCACAAAAATGAACATTACATTTTCATTTCGATAGATTATTATTTGTCATATTTATACCCCACCTTTCTCTACCCCAGCAGGGGGACTCAAGGCGGCTTACAATGGCACATACACAGTGCCTCAAAACAACAAATCCACCTTAAAATAATTTAAAGTTACAACATATTTAAAATGGTCAAAATACATTAAAAGTTAAAAACATGCCATCCAGAGTTCAAGGTCTAGGGACATTCCAAGGTCAAACTGCACATAATTCTATATTCGGCATACTGCATTGCCCTAATTTTAAAAAGCCTGCCTCCAGAGCGAGGTTTTGACTCTCTTCCTGAAGGCCAGTAGGGAGGAGGCTGATCTGATGTCGCTTTCCCCCCTTTTACATTCTCTGTTAAAATAAGCTAGACTCAAATTGATACATCATTTTTCCTAATGTATATGACAGCAGAAATGCATTATTTGAATGTAGACAGCGCATGGCATGAAACATACAAGAGAGAGAGAATGGAAATGGAAAGAGAAAGGATGCCTCTCCTTCCTTGGCCCAAGGAAAGAGGTTCCAGGTACTCACTGCATATTCGTGAACCTGTGGTTCCTCCTTAGGGTGCCAGATGTCATACAGAGGCGCCAGCTCCTCATAAGCCCTTGCCATCCTCACTTCTTCATACTCATGAGGCTCTGAGGAGCCAAGCCAAGGTGGCAGGATATTATGATCTGCAAAGATAGAAAATCCCTTGTTTCGCACTGGGAGTTGGGATGACAGCCAGGAGAAGTTACATTTAGGGACTGCGGTAACTTTGAGGGAGTTTCTGAGAACAACCCCAATCATTCTTTGATCCCAGTGGCTGAGGAAAGGCTCTCCATCCATCCTAACTGCCTCTGCTCTGTCCTCTGAGGGAGTGAACAGCAGCCAGACTTTGCTGGATTTAATCACAGTCATCTCGCTTTCCTTGTCTTTCCTGTCTTTTTAGATTGCAAAGCTGAAGGCAGGGAATTGTCAAATTGACAATTTGCAAACTCCCCTGGGAGCCTTTCTGGAAATAGGGCAGGAAAGAAAGAAAGAAAGAAAGAAAGAAAGAAAGAAAGAAAGAAAGAACGAACGAACTCAGAATCCCTCTGCCAGCATGAAATTTAGTAGTTCAGCGTGGCAATTTTAGTCTCTGATTTGCCCTCCCTGCACTTTAAAAGATAGTATCTTTCATATTCTTTTCTCTTTGTAGCCCCTGCTGCTCATTAGTATGTGAGTACATCCTAGTTCAACGATTCTCAACCTGGGGGTTGGGACTCCTGGAGGGGGGGGGGCTCATGAGGGAGTGTCAGAGGGTTCACCAAAGACCACCAGAAAACACAGTATTTTCTGTTAGTCATGGGGGTTCTGTGTGGGAAATTTGGCCCAATTATATCATTGGTGGGGTTCAGAATGCTCTTTGATTGTAGGTGAACTATAAATCACAGCAACTACAACTRCCAAATGTCAAGGCCTATTTCCCCKAAAATCCACATTTAGGCATATTGACTATTCATGRCAATTTTGGACCAMATCCATCATTGTTTGAGTCCACAGTGRTCTCTGGATGTAGGTGAACTACAACTCCAAAATTCAAGGTCAATGCCCACCAAACCCTTCCAGTATTTTCTGTTGGTCACGGGAGTTCTGTGTMCCAAYTTTGGTTCYYTTCCATTGTTGGTGGAGTTCAGAATGCACTTTGATTGTAGGTGAACTATAAATCCCAARAACTACAACTCCCAAATGACAAACTCAATCTCCCCCAACCCCACCATACCAATTTGGACGTATRAGGTATCTGTGCCAAATTTGGTCCAATGAATGAAAATACATCCTGCACATCAGATATTTACATGATGATTCATTACGGTAGCAAAATGACAGTTAAGAAGTAGCAATGAAAATAATTTCATGGTTAGGGGTCACCACGACACAAGGAACTGTATTAAGGGGTCACAGCATTAGGAAGGTTGAGAACCACTGTCCTAGTTGGACTACTATAATGTGTTCTAATATAATGCATTTGAAACTTCAGTTGGTCCAAAGAGCAGCAGCCAGACTGCTAACTGGGGCTGGCTATGGGGAGTGAATAACCCCTCTGTTGCAACAGCTCCACTGACAGCCAACTCATTTCTGGGGAAAATTCAAAGTGCTGGTTTTGACCTATCTTTATAGATCTGTATGGCTTTGGTTCTTGTTACTTGAAGGATGGTATTTCCCTCTATGAACCTGTTAGAATGGGCATGGGCAAACTTTGTAACTTGGGGGCCGCATGGTGGGCCGGAGCAGAGTGGGCGGGTCGGAAGGGAGGGGATTCTACTCGTCCCCTCCCCTTCCCTTTCCTTCCCTTCCTCTTCCCACTATCTTCCCTTTGAGAGGCAGATAGTGAAGGAAAGACAGGAAAACGTTTGGATCCCAAAAGGATTGTCCTTTGTCAGGATGAGATGGTGGATGGGAGAGAAAAAGTGTATCCATGAGACTCTGTATTGCCTACTCCTGATATATAATCATAGAGCTGGAAGAGACTCCCAAGGGCAATGCAGTCCAACCCTGCCATGCAGGAAGGCACAACCAATACTCGCAATAGACAGTCGCTACAGAAAAGCCTCCACACTCCCAGGCAGCCTATGCCACTTACTCTCAGGACGTTCTTCCTAACCTTTTCAGTCAAATCTCTTACCCTGCCATTTGAAACAATTGCTCCCTTGTGCCCTGGTCTCTGGAGCAGCAGAAAGTCACTTTCGCCTTCTCCTCCTCAATGGGACACCCTTTGAAATCTTGGAACATGGTTCTCATGTTCCTTCTCCTCTTCTCTCAGGTAAACATCCCCAGGAAGAAAGGAGGAAGGAAAAAAAGAAGGGAGGGAGGGAAAAAAGGAAGGGAAGAAAGGAAGAAGGAAATGAGAGAGGGAGGGAAGGGAGAGAGGGAGGAAAGAGAAAGAAGGAAGAAAGAAGGGGAAAGGGAGAAAGGGGAGGAGGGATGGAAGAGGAGGGAGGGGAAGGAAGGAAGGAAAGAGGGAGGAGGAAGAGAAGGGAAGGAAGGGTGGAAAGAAAAGGAGGGAGGGAGGAAAGAGAGAAGGAAGGAAAGCAAAAGGGAAGGAAAGAAGGAAAGAGGAAAGAAGGAAAGAAGGAAAGAAGGGAAGGAAGGGAAGGAAGGAAGGAAGAAGGAAGGAAGGAAGGAAGGAAGGAAGGAAGGAGGAAGAAGGAAGCCACAGAGAGGAGGGAGCAAGCTTGTTTTCTGCTTCCTTGGAGACTAGGACGCAAGGGAACAATGGCTTCAAACTACAAGAGAGGAGATTCCATCTGAACACGAGGAGAACTTCCTGACTGTGAGAGCCATTCAGCAGTGGAACTCTCTGCCCCGGAGTGTGGTGGAGGCTCCTTCTTTGGAAGCTTTTAAACAGAGGCTGGATGGCCATCTGTCAGGGATGATTTGAATGCAATATTCCTGCTTCTTGGCAGGGGGTTGGACTGGATGGCCCATGAGGTCTCTTCCAACTCTTTGATTCTATTCTATTCTATGAAGGAGAAAGACAGAGAGGGAAGGAGGGAGGAAAGAGGAAAAGGAGGAAGGATGGAAGAGAAGGGAGGGGAAGAGGAAGGAAGGAAAGACAGGATGGTGAGAGAAAGGAGGGCTTGAGTAAAGAGCCCAAGGAGCTGCATCTGTTATATATGCAGAATGGTGATCCATCAGGATGAAAAGAAGTTGTAGATGAAACATTTTAACCCAAAGAAAGTGAACGGATACATTTTGCATCCCTGGGTCCGGATCGTGGGGTTAGGATTTAAGGATTGGGGGCGAGGGGGGGGCGGGGGCAATGGACAGACACCTGTAATGGTGGCATTTCTCTCTTTTTCAGCATGGTGACCCAACTGTGACCAAGTCTCTGTAGTAGCTGCAGAACCAGATGTTGACATCTTTGTAGAGCTGCTCTGGAAAAAAAAAAGTCAACCAGCCATTTTAGCAGCAGCAAGAATTACTTTGTTAGGAGAAAAAAAACGTATTTTCTGCACAGAAAACATTACTCCTGCCCAGAAAAAGCATGCTTTCCCTACAAAAAAAGTGAAGTGTGTGGGGTTGTTGTTTTTTTCACATAATAAGTTCTGAACTGCAAATAGTCCTTGAAAACTGCAAAGTTTTAGGGAGTTTTCCACAGACAGAGAAATTCATACCTGCCTTCAAGAATGAACTTTATAAAGATTTATATCCACAGTTCAGATACTGAGGCTGGATCTACACTAAACAATAGTGTTTAGCTGATGTAGATTTGTATAATGCAGTTCAATGCAGTTCCAAACTGCATTGTATGGGTGTATACCAGGTATGAGCAAACTTGTCCCTCCAGGTATTTTGGACTTCAGCTCCTACAATTCCTGGCCTCAGGCCCTTTCCTTTTCCCCCTCAGCCGCTTAAGCGGCTGAGGGGGAAAAGGAAGGGGCCTGAGGCCAGGAATTGTAGGAGTTGAAGTCCAAAACACCATGAGGGATGAAGTTTGCCTGTGCCCAGTCTACACTAACCATATTATGCAGTTCCAAACTGCATTATATGGCAACGTAGATCCAGTCTGAGATTCATTTGGTCTAGGGATAGCTACATATGCCCACAACCAGAATATGCCAATATTCCCACAATAAAGAGGATGTCAAGTATAATTTTTACAAGCTACATCATGTTTCTAGTACTCATGACAATGGCAGAAGCCTGAGTGATGCATGGCTTTCTGCTGCTAAGAATCAAAAGAAGATCCAGATAAGGCTTTCAGAGTGCAAGAAGCCAAATTCTGCAAGTCAGCACAGTTGGGCCTCAAATATATTTCCTTTCTTTTATGTTAATCATCCTCTCTTTGTGCAGTTTTCCCTCTATTACAGATATCAGAATTACTGATAGAGAATATTAGAGTTCCTGTCAAATGGACTGTATCCAGAGAGATTTCAAACTCTTTCTTTCAAAGGAAGTAACCTTGACATTGAGTGGATCTTGCACATGTACAAATCCAGCTCCCTTGGCTGAAATGTCAACTTGGCATTTCAGTTGGGAGAAGGAAGACTATTAAGCAAAGGACAGAATAGTATCGCCTGGTGTTTTCCGTGACAGCAGTGTTGAATATACTCTAGGTTTTAGTCCAAACTTTAGAAGATTGATCCAAGTTGGTGAACCTATTTTGGGATTAGAACTCAGCCCCTTGGAAAGCACCCTTAACATGTAGGCTAAAACATATATTCTCAGTATCCCCCAATCAAAAACCACCAACCAGCACTGAGAAAAACAATTTTCCCATCCACATCTCCAGCTCATACCTAGATTTCATTTTTCCTTCTCAGGGTTGGCAATTTTTGTACTAGCTCCAGTGTCTTTCTACATACACACAGAAACACGAATATACTCTGTGTTGTGCTACAAAAATTACACCTATTGCCTTCTGCCTATCAAGCTCCTGTTAGATCAGCGTTTCTCGTCCTGGGGGTCGGGACCCCTGGGGAGGGGTTGGGACCCCCTGGGGAGGGGTTCAGAAGGGGGTTTCAGAAGGGTTGCCAAAGACCATCAGAAAACATATATTTCTGATGGTCTTAGGAACCCTTTTGGAAGAGAAGGCTGAAGATCTCTCTGCCTGTCCTTCTCCTTTTTGGAAACAGACGGCAAATCTTCCCACCTAAAGCCCTTCTCCTGCTGTGATTGGCTGGCCTCTCAGCCAGCCCCTCAGCCAAGGAGAGGGCTGTTTCTGAGACTCCAAGTGGGGAGGAGAGAGCAGACATGCTCGGTGCATGGCACAACACAATATTAGTATTACTATGTTGTGCTATACCACTATACTATGATATTATTACTAATATGACATGTAATACAAATATATAATTATTATATTATATTAGTATTAGTATTATATTGTATTACATTATAATATTATTATCAATATTATACATGTATACAATATATTATAATATTAGCACAGCACAATATTAATATTATCTATTACTATATTGTTGCTGCGGGGAAGGGCTCCCAACCAATAACCCAGGAGACATGGTGGAACTCTGTCTTCCTGATTCCCTTCCTTCACTCTGGCTCCAGAGCATTAGTTGGTGCTGGGGAACCCTGTTATAGGAACCCTGGCTAAGCTGAAAGGGAGCAGGGAACTAGGAAGGGATTGGAGACAAGACCTCTGCAAGTAGAAAGGCACCCGCACTTAGAAGCTGTGAGCTCTGGCTCAGCTACACACTAAAGACACAAAAATATGCCTGGCAGATGGTTCTTTTCATAGTAAATGGACAACTCTACTTGCAGCCTTGCTGCTACAAACAAGTTCCCCCATATCATGAATGGGGCACTTACCTCAGAACTGTGCTCTTCTAGCTGGGCTGGGCGAGCACTACACTTCAGCCAACTGCATACAGTATAGTTGTTCCCAAATCGCACCTTTGCCCTGAAACAGTAACATCATCCTAGCGTGATATACAGATATACAAATCACACCATTCACAGCTAGGTTTTTTTAATTCCAAAAAATAAAAATAAAAACTTGATAAGGGAGATTCATACTACTATACTATTTGATGTAACTGTAACAGAATTTGAGCAGCCATGAATTCTGGTTTGTATGAACAGTCCTGGAACCAAACCTCAGTGGATACTAAGAGAGTCCATTGTAATTTAAGGCTCTGTAAACTTAGGCAAAGCCTTAAATTATAGTAATTTAAGGCTTTTTAAACTTAGGCAAGGGAGACCCCAGTGGTGCTGTGGGTTAAACCCCTGAACTGTCAAACTTGTTGATCAAAAGGTCAGTGGTTCGAATCTGGGGAGCGGGGTGGGTGCCCACTGTTAGCCCCAGCTTTTGCCAACCTAGCAGTTCAAAAACATACAAATGTGAGTACATCAATAGGTACCGCTTCTGTGGTAAGGTAACGGTGCTCCCTGCAGTCATGCCGGCCACGTGACCTTGGAGGTGTCTACGGACAATGCTAGCTCTTCGGCTTAGAAATGGAGATGAGCATCAACCCCCAGAGTTGCACATGAGTAGACTTAATAGACTTAATGTCAGGGGAAAACCTTTACCTTAAACTTAGGCATGTCTAACTCCCCCAGTCATAGAGGAAGGCAAAAGCAAACCCCCGCTGAACCAACCTTCCTAAGAAAAGCTGTGATGCTTCACCTTAGGGTTGCCTCAAGTCAGAAATGACTTGAATGTAGACCATAACCATAGTGTAGCAGTCTTGAGCATTGAACTAGTATTCTGAATGAACTACTACACATTTGTAGTGACATGATAGTCCAAAATATTGTTGAAAGATGCAATGCCCAGTATATTAGTCCTCAGAATGTCAGTGAAGTGGTTTCTCATTATTGTTATTTCCACAAAAGCTGTGCGAAAAGAAAAAAAATAGCAACCCCTTTTACTCACTTGTTTTCTCCAGTGGTTCCATCTTCTGCAAGAAAAATGAGAAACAAGAAAAGGATTACATCAAAACAAAAAAGAATTATTTAACCAGGTGAATATTTTACTTGTCCAGTAATGATAATTGCAGCAAGGATGCTATAAGCCCAACAATGGAAGTCAGCTCTTCCAACAATAGAAGAATGGATAGTAAAAAAATTTCAGAACAGTGGAAATGGATAAGTTAGATATAATGAACAAAGAAAAAGCACTCAAGAACTTGTTATTAAAGACTGGGAACTGTTTCTAAATTATGTAAAAGGAAAAAAAGAGGGGAAAGTTTTTCTAGAAGGCTCCATAATTTAATCTGTTAGGACTTTTTAATGAATTTTTTTTTAAAAAATTCACAGAAATGTGTATGGATTTGGGAGTCTGATTTATCTCATGCATGTATTTGTACACAAAATATAATAAAAGTACACATTTCTGCAGCAAACCAAAATATATTACATTCTGTAGTATATGTGGAACATTAACATTGTTTTCACTAATGTACAGTCAGCCCTCCATAACCATGGGATCTATATCCATAGATTGAACCAACCATTTGTGTCGACCATGATTTCATAGAACTGGAAGAGACCACAAGGGCCATCTAGTCCAGCCCCCTACCATATAGGAAAAGCACAAAGCACTCCCAACAGATGGTCATACAACCACTGCTTTAAAGCCTCCAGAGAAGGAAACTCCACTATCACCCAAAGCGGAAAATTTTACTGCCAAACAGCTCTTATAATCAGGACGTTCTCCCTAATGTTTCGGTAGATTTTTTTTCCTGAAATTTGAATTTCATATAAATAAATATGATAAATAAACTTTATTTATATCCTGCCACCATCTCCCTGAAGGGACTCGAGGCGACCTACAAGCCACTCCAGGGTGCGCATATAACATACAACAGGTAAAAACCGTACAAAAGTAAAAAAACAAGTTACATAACAACAACCTCCATCAACACATGTAGCATAAAATCAAAATAATACATTTTTTTAAAAAAAAGTAGATAAAAGTGTCAGCTTTGTATGGGCCTATTCAGCCTACTCAAGGTCAAAGGCCTGTCAGAACACCCATGTTTTAGTTTGGAACAGAAGGATTGAAGGTTGGAGGCTGATCTAATTTCTTTTGGGAGGGTATTCCGGAGCCAGGGGGCCACCACAGAGAAGGACCTCTCTCTTGTTCCCACCAACCACACTTGAGATGGTTGTGGGACCGAGAGGGGGCCTCCCCTGTCAATCTCACAACTTGCGCCGGTGCGTAGAAAGAGATGAGGTCTCAAAGATAGGCTGGACCCAAAGCATATAGGGCTTTATAGGTAATCACTTGCATCTTGAATTGAGCCTGGAAACTTGTCAGAAGCCAGGGAGGCTGCTTCAGCAGGGGCGTGGTATGTTCCCTGTAGCTAGCTCCCATTAGGAATCTGGTAGCTGACTTTTGCACTAGCTGCAGTTTCCAAACCATCTTCAAAGGAAGTCCCACATAGAGTGCGTTACAGTAGTCCATTCTGGATGTAACTAAGACATGGATCACCATGGCCAAGTCAGACTTTTCGAGGTATGGTCGCAGCTGGCACACAAGTTTTTACTGTGTGAAGGCCCTTCCGACTACTGATGACACCTGAACCTCAAGTGTCAGCGGTGAGTCCAGGAGGACTCCCAGACTGCAGACCTGTGTCCTCAGAGGGACACAGCCTCATAACTGACCAGGAGGACCTCTGTCTAGACTGGCTTAAGTCTCAACTTGTTGGCCCTCATCCAGTCCATCACAGCTGTCAGGTACTGGTTTCGGATCAGTGGTGCTTCCCTGGAATTCGGTGGAAAAGATGGGTGTAGAGATGACACCCAATTCCACAACTCCAGATGATCTCACCCACCGGTTTCATGTAGATGTTGAAGAGCATTGAGGAAAGAATGGAGCCTTGTGGGACCCCACAGGTCAAGGGCCAAGGGTTTGAGTAGGTGTCTCCCAGCATCACCATCTGGGTACAGTGCCCACAAGACCCATTCCAGAGAGCCAACCCAGAAGGATACCATGGTCAATGGCATCAAAAGCCAGTGAGATGTCCAAGAGAACCAACAGGGACATACTCCCCTTGTCTAGTTCTCTGCAGAGATCGTCTACCAGGTCAACCAAAGCTGTATAGGGGATGCTAGCATTCTATGCTATTGTGAGTATATATTTGGACTTCAGCATCCACAAATGTTGACATCGACAAGGCCCAATGTATGTTTGTTACTTTCCTGCAACATATTTTTTGCATCTTATTTTAAACTGGATAACCCCTCTGCAAGATTCAGAGAATTATGAATGTTGAAGGATTACTCAGATTTGGTTTTCACATTTGTTGTATGGCAGGGAATTACATAAATGCGATAAAATGACAACTGAATGGATTTTTTCCCTTTATCACTAATCCAGGCTTAAGCATGCTTAGAGGAAACCCACTGTATTGAATGGGACATACTCTAAGGGTCGTTTAGAAACTAAGCAGTCTGCCTTAACCACTGGGAAAGTGGGTACAAAGTTAAAGATTGGGGATCTTTTCAGACATTTACCTTTCAGACCTTGCACCTGCCGCCTGTAAAGTAGGCAGCCCAGGAACAATAAATTGGATGTTATCAGGAGCCCCGCAAGGGCTCCCAGAAGAATGATGATGGGAAGAGGCAGCAGGGGTCTGTCTGAAAAAGAAGAAAACAGTGGAAAAACAAACTTTAGAAACTGGGTTGCTGTGAATTTTCCCATCTGTCTGGCCATGTTCCAGAAGCATTCTCTCTTGACATTTCACCCACATCTATGGCAGGCATACTCAGAGGTTATGAGGTTTGTTGGAAACTAAGCAAATGGGGTTTATATATCTGTGGAATGTCCAGGGTGGGAGAAAGAACTCTTGTCTGCTTGAGGCAAGTGTGAATATTGCAACTGGCCACCTTGATTAGTATTGAATAGCCTTGCAGCTTCAAAGCTTGGCTGCTTCCTTCCTGGGGGAATCCTTTGTTGGGAAATGATTAGTTGGCCCTGATTGTTTCTTGTCTGGATTTCCTGTTTTTTAGTGTTATTCTTTATTTACTGTTCTGATTTTAGAGGTTTTTTTTTAATACTGGTAGCCAGATTTTGATCATTTGTATGGTTTCTTCCCTTCTGTTGAAATTGTCCACATGTATGTGGGTTTCAATGGCTTCTCTGTGTAGTTTGACATGGTAGTTATCAGAGTGGTCCAGGCATTTCTGTGTTCTTGAATAATATGCTGTGTCCAGGTTGGTTCATTGATTGCTCTGCTATGGCTGACTAAGTCTAGAAAATCAAGAGTTGGCATAGTTACTTTATGGCCGTGATGATTGGGGGATTCTGGGAGTGTAGTTCAGATAAGTTGTTTATTTTTTTTCAAGCTACACGGGAATAAAATAATGTCATTACAGGGTTGTTGTAGGTTTTTTCGGGCTATATGGCCATGGTCTAGAGGCATTATCTCCTGACGTTTCGCCTGCATCTATGGCAAGCATCCTCAGAGGTAGTGAGGATGCTTGCCATAGATGCAGGTGAAACATCAGGAGAGAATGCCTCTAGACCATGGCCATATAGACTGAAAAAACCTACAACAACCCAGTGATTCTGGCCATGAAAGCCTTCGACAATACAATGTCATTACACATTGATAGAAACTAGTATCCACCTCATGAAGTTTTAATTCAATCCCCAAATTTCTAGCAATTGCAGGAACATAAAACTTCAATTTAAACATGCGTAGAAAAGGGCAACAAAGTTACAAAAGGAATGTAAACATAGCAAATGTCAGAGCTGTAGGCGTAAATGATTTTCATATTTCATTTTTGCAATATTACACTCTTTGTGCTTCCCCCCTTCTAGTTACACTTTCTTCTTTCTGACAGACAGCCATTCAGTCTCTGTTTAAAAACCTCCAGAGAAGAAGAATTGGCATATTCCACTGCCAAACTGTTCTTAGTGTCAGAAAGCTCTTCCTAATGTTTAAGTGGAATTTCTTTTCCTGCAATTTGAATCCATAGCTCCATGCCCTCGTCTCTAGAGCAGCAGAAATCAAGCCTGCCTCCACCTCATTGCAAAATCCTTTCAGATATCTAAGCATGGCTATAGATGATAATGGCACAACAAAGATGCCAGCCAAGTCCCTTGCTCTAATTTTTCAAAAGGCTGGGCAAGGAGATGCAGGCCTTTCAAATCTGTACATTGGTCAGTTGGGGTTGATGTGTGAAAGCAAGCAATCAATTTACAAAAAAGTCAATTCTACTACAATGAAAATGCAATGTTTTCCATATTTATGTCTTCGTACCTGGTTTGGGTTCAGGTGAAATCCCTGGATCTCTGTCAATTGGTTCTTGCATTCTCTCTAAAAGGAAAGACATTGAACAATGACTGGGTAGTATCCAGTTTCTGATAGTGACAGACAGGAGGCAAGCTGCCCTATTTACAAAAGAAGCAAGAGGTTGTCATAATAATAATATAATAAAACTTTACTTATATTCCAACCTATTTCCTCAGATGGACTCAGGGCAGATTTCAAACATAAAAGGCAAACATTCAATGGCCGAACATAACAATACACCCATAACAACGAAAATTGACAACTCAACATATAAAAACAAATTATACCATAACGACTACAAATATAAACACAACCTGTTATATCGGACATAAGGCAAAACACCAAACATCAAACAGAAGCATCAATTTCCCAATTTCTTGGGGGCAAATAGATTGATCATTGCTCAATATGTCTATTGAGCTGGTGGGGTGAACAGGGCACAGATAGTAGCTATTAATCAGAGGCATAACGGTAGTATTACTATATACTACTCCTCTTCCTCATAAGCCAATGAGCAAATGTACATCTTCAGAAGTTTCTTGAAAGTGGGGAAGGAAGGGGCCATCTTTAACTACTTAGGAAAGGAGTTCCAGAGGTCGGGGGTGGCCATGGAGAAGGCCTTTTCTTTCGCTCTCATCAGCCACGCTTGGGACGGGGGTGGGTCCAAGAGCAGGGCCTCCTCCAATGACCACAGTGCCCGAGTTGGTCTATAGTGGGAGATGTGTTTCGTCAAATAGTCTGGCCCTGAGACATTTAGGGCTTCAAAGGTAAGAACCAGCATTTCGTATTTAGCCCAGAAGCAGACCAGCAGCCAGTGGAGATGCTGAAACATGGGAGTGGTTCTCTCCCTGAATGGCACTCCAGTTAGTAATCTGTCTGTCAATCTCTGGACCATTTGAAGCTTCCAAAATATCTTCAAAGGCAGCACCACGTAGAGAGCATTGCAGTAGTCCATAGGGGATGTGACTAAGGCATGGACTACCATGGCCAGATCTGGTGTCTCAAGGTATGGGCACAGCTGGCGCAAACGTTTTAACTGTGCAAAGGCATTCCTGGGGTTCCAGTGTCAGCGATGAGCTCAGGATCACCCCCAGACTGTTAAATACCTCATCATGCTCATCAGTGCAATGTCATAGGCAGAGAAGAGGGATCCCGTATCTTCGGGCATGATGGGGGGAGGGGGGGGGAGTGGAAAGCACAGGGTCACTGAATTGCATGAGAAATGTGGATCCTTTAACTCAGTGGTTCTCACCCTGTGGATCCCCAGATGTTTTGACCGTCAACTCCCAGAAATCCTAACAGCTGGTAAACTGGCTGGGATTTCTAGGAGTTGTAGGCCAAAGCACCTGGGGACCCACAGGTTGAGAACCACTGCTTTAACTAAACTTTTTTTTTCTGAAACCCCACTTTTGACTCAGTCCTATGGCGTACTTAGCATAGCAATGAATTGATTAGGTGGCTTTCCAAATTACATGGTCATCCTGCCCTCCCTAAAGCTAGAAACAATATTCACAATAATTTGCTTCCCAAGTCAAAAACAATTTCCCCAAGTCAGGAAAACCCATCAGAAAGAATACAGAACACGGTATTTCACATCCCAAACTGGGGTGCTGGGATTATTCTGCAGAGGGGGAAAAACAGTTGTCCTCTGGACAACTCCCCTCACAATATTTGTACACAAACATTGTTTCCTGCACATTTTTGTACAACGTTTTTCTTCCACAGAATAATGCTTCTGCAACACTCTGGGATAATAAAGTATAAAGACTGCAAAGGAGCATTCATTTTCTCCCACAGTAGGGAGTAAATGGTATTACTTGTTCATCCTCAAATGCAAGGACAAAACAGTCAAGGCTTTAAATCCATATCCCCGTCTACAGAACTCAGGGTTGTAAATGCATTGTCCTGTATTGAGTTGCTTCCTAATGGGTTAAACCCTTGTGCCAGCAGGACTGAAGACCGACAGGTCAGCAGTTTGAATACGGGGAGAGTGCAGTTGAGCTCCCTCTATCAGCTCCAGCTCCCCATGTGGGGACATGAGAGAAGCCTCCCACAAGGATGGTAAAATATCAAAATATCCAGGAGTCCCCTGAGCAATATCCTTGCAGACGGCCAATTATCTCTCACCAGAAGCAACTTGCAGTTTCTCAAGTTGCTCCTGACATAAAAAAAATTGCTTACGTGTGCAACTTCAAGTCACTTCAATGTATGACCTGCTGGTTTTCATAGAAGCTTCCCACAAGAATGGTAAAACATCAAAACACCCAGCCATCCCCTGGGCAATGTCCTTGTAGACCAGAAGCGACTAGTAGTTTCTCAAGTCACTCCTGAGACAAAAAAAAAAGTTGCTTCATGACAGTTCTGTGAATTAGGCTATCCTGTAAGAGCATCCGGCACAAAATCACTGCGTGAGAAGGATGGCTAGTTGGAGATTTGAACCTGCATCTCCCTAGGCCACTTTCACTGCTCTGTCCACTTTACGGCCCTTCTGTGAGCATGCTCATGCACTTGTGTCATCTCCTAACCTGCAGTGGTGATGCTAAGTCCATCAGCAAAGTCGCTTTCCCCAAGAGCATTGCGTGCATTGACAGAGACGTTGTAGAGGGTGTCTGACTGCAGGCCTGTTAAGGTAAACACTCTGGATTGTGGTGGGAAGACATCCACATACAGAAAGCTGGGGACGCCAGGCCAGTGATACCTGGAAAGAGGTAAGCAGAAAAGAGGCGCAAATGAGAAGTGGTCTTCAAGGTCTCCACTGCTCCCTCCCTAGGGGCCAGTGGCATAGTAGTTTGAGCACTGAACTATGGCTCTGAAAACCAGGGTCTGAATCCCCACTTAGCCATGAAATGCACTAAGAGACCTTGAGTATGCCACACACTATCAACTTCAAAAGAAAACTATGATGAACTTCCTCTGAACAGATCATGTCCAGAAAATCTGTGATAGGTTCAACTTAGAGCCAACATAGGTCAGAGGCCCCATCTAGGCTACCATATGGTGCAGTTTGAAACTGCATTACATGGTCAGTGTAGACTCGTATCATGCAGCAATGAGTTCAGACTGCATTATATGAGTCTATAGTAAAGGTAGTCCCCTGACATTAAGTCCAGTCATGTCTGACTCTGGGGTGTGGTGCTCATCTCCATTTCTAAGCCGAAGAGCCAGCGTTGTCCGTAGACACCTCCAAGGTCATGTGGCCGGCATGACTGCATGGAGTGCCGTTACCTTCCCGCCAGAGCGGTACCTATTGATCTACTCACATTTGCATGTTGTCGAACTGCTAGGTTGGCAGAAGCTAGGGCTGACAGCGGAAGCTCACGCCGCTCCCTGGAATCGAACCTGTGACCTTTCGATCAACAAGCTCAGCAGCTCAGTGCTTTAATCCACTGCGCCACCGGGGGCTCCAATATGCGTCTATACTGACCAAATAATGACATGTCAAACTGCATTATATTGCCATGTAGGTGGGGTCATGAAGGCCTTAAAGGTATACAACACACTTTCTTTCCTCCCCTCTGTTTAGGACAGTGGTTCCCAACCTGTGGTCTGCGGACTACCAGTGGTCCACAAGAATGAAAATATGGTCTGCAGCCTACACCGTTGCCTGGAAACCATACATCTCACGAAACCCTCTTACAGTGCTGAGGCAACTGGGATGTCAGGAGGGGAGAGGCTGACTACCTACAACAGGTTGCTACTACCACATCAGCTCTAGATTATTCAATATGGTTTTATGTGAGTGTGCAGATGTTGACTACTGGAAGGCATATGTTCTGTATCAGAAACTAGAGCTGGTGTGGTCTATCCAATGCAATTTTCTGAATCAGCACCCCAAATAACCAAACCCAATCTAAAGTTGACCAAAAACTGATTTGTAACCCTTTCAGTGCTAATGGGCTGTGGCACAGCTAGTTAGTAGCCAGCTGCATTAAATCACTACTGACCGAGAGGTCATGAGTTCAAAGCCAGCCCGAGTTGGAGTGAGCGCCTGACCATTAATAGCCTAGCTTGCTGTTGACCTATGCAACCCGAATGACAGTTCCATCTGTCAAGTAGGAAATTTAGGTACCGCTTTATGCGGGGAGGCTAATTTGACTAATTTGAGACACCATAAAAAAACCTTCCAGCAGTGTGCAAAAGAATGAGGAAGTACTCCATCAAGGATTCGATGTCACAAGTGGACGGTGAAGCGGCAGCTCCCCCTGTGGCCAGAATCCAGCATACCCTCATGAAGCCAGAAAGCTGGAATGTTAAATTGCCTCTGTGTCTTTCCATATATGTTGTATGTTTAATGGCATTAAAGGTTTTCCATGTATATGTGTACTGTAATCCGCCCTCGGACCCTGATGGGTGAGAAGAGCAGAATATAAATACTGTAAATAAATAAATAAATAAATGTTGGAAAGTGGTCTCTGGTCATGTGGTCCTTGGTCAAAAAAAAGTTGGGAAGCACTGGTTTAGAGAATACAGTGGAGTCTCCGGTGACACAATGGGTTAAACTTTTGTGCCAGCAGGACTGCTGACCGTAAGCTCGGTGCTTCAAATCCGGGGAGTAGGGTGAGCTCCTATCTGTCAACTCCAGCTTCTCATATGGGGACTTGAGAGAAGCCTCTCATGGGATGGTAAAACATCCGGGTATCCCCTGGGCAACCTGGGCAGATGGCCGATTCCCTCACACCAGAAGCGACTTGCAGTTTCTCAAGTCACTCCTAAACACTAAAAAAAAGGGAATACAGTTAACATGCCTTCTGACAAAGAAGCTCCTTTTTACAATGTGTTTTTATCTCTAACCCATTCCCCTTTTATTTTTTCCCCCACTGCTCAACTGAAAGGATTTTTTTAGCAGTATTGGCACTGAGAAGATAATAAAAGAAGACCAGCAATACACAGACTTTTGGCACTGGGGTGGAGCAGGAAGTGTGTAGTACAACACAATAAAGTCTGAGCCTGTAAAGAATGGGATTCTACTCTAGCCAATCTTACCAAATCCTACCTTCTCGAGAAGCCATCAAATAGTCTTTAAAAGGTTCAAAATATTTTTGATTACTTATCCAAGGCTTGCCGGACCAGTTTGTTTCATATGCGAATGTGCACATTTGGGGGGAGAGGGAGCTTTTCTGAGACATGTTGACCCGCCCTGGTGTAAGAATTAATCCCTACTCTTTCCATATTATGTTATTTCTGCCTCTGGTATCAATTTTTCTGTTAAATACCTAAAGCACATGAATGCATTCATTTCATTGCCCGAGGATGGATCTACACTGCCACGCAGCCCCCTCCCTCCTCACTGCCCGCAAGAGAGTGAAAACATGGCTTTGTGACCAAGCCTTTGGAGAACTTGTGCAATAGATAGATATGGAATGATGTGCAATGACTATTGGAATGGCCCAGATTACGCTTGAGGATTATGTGATTAATTGTGAAGATATTGTCCTATATTTTTTAATTCAGAGAATCAAAGAGTTGGAAGAGACCTCATGGGCCATCCAGTCCAACCCCCTGCCAAGAAGCAGGAATATTGCATTCAAATCACCCCTGACAGATGGCCATCCAGCCTCTGTTTAAAAGCTTCCAAAGAAGGAGCCTCCACCACACTCCGGGGCAGAGAGTTCCACTGCTGAACGGCTCTCACAATCAGGAAGTTCTTCCTCATGTTCAGATGGAATCTCCTCTCTTGTAGTTTGAAGCCATTGTTCCGTCCTAGTCTCCAGAGCAGCAGAAAGCAAGCTTGCTCCCTTCTCCCTATGACTTCCTCTCACATATTTATACATGGCTATCATGTCTCCTTTCAGCCTTTCTTCTTCAGGCTAAATATGCCCAGCTCTTTAAGCCGATCCTCATAGGGTTTGTTCTCCAGACCCTTGATCATTTTAGTCACCCTCCTCTGGACACATTCCAGCTTGTCAATATCTCTCTTGAATTGTGGTGCCCAGAATTGGACACAATATTCCAGATGTGGTCTAACCAAAGCAGAATAGAGGGGTAGCATTACTTCCCTAGATCTAGACACTATGCTCCTATTAATGCAGGCCAAAATCCCATTGGCTTTTTTTGCCGCCACATCACATTGTTGGCTCATGTTTAACTTGTTGTCCATGAGGACTCCAAGATCTTTTTCACACGTACTGCTCTCGAGCCAGGCATTGGCCCCCATTCTGTATCTTTGCATTTCGTTTTTCCTGCCAAAGTGGAGTATCTTGCATTTGTCACTGTTGAACTTCATTTTGTTAGTTTTGGCCCATCTCTTTAATCTGTCAAGATCGTTTTGAATCCTGCTCCTGTCCTCTGGAGTATTGGCTATCCCTCCCAATTTGGTGTCGTCTGCAAACTTGATGATCCTGCCTTCTAACCCTTCATCTAAGTCATTAATAAAGATGTTGAACAGGACCGGCCCAGGACGGAACCCTGCGGCACTCCGCTCGTCACTTCTTTCCAGGATGAAGAGGAAGCATTGGTGAGCACCCTCTGGGTTCGTCCATTTAGCCAATTACAATTGTTTTAATATATTTAATAATTCTTTTTATAAAATTATAGTGTCCATTATATAGTGTCCATGAGAGAAGCAATTGATTTCTAAATTCAAACTGCACACTTGCAAAGCTTTATAGATAGTCATAGCAAAAGCAAGGCATTTGATTACATGGCTCCCCAGGAAATTTCAGCCCCTAGCTATGACCTAAAATCTAGTCCTTTCACTTTTCTACTGTTCCCTGCCAAGAGATATAATGTTCCATCCTTTAATACCCTTTATCCCTAATTCTGTCATCTGGTATTTGCACTTTATCCATTAGCCCTGTCTTCACAATTGATTTGCACCAGCCAGCCTGCCCGCCACCAGAAACTGCTACAATTTCAGGCCACTGGTTGTTGCTCATGATTGTTTTTATATTGTGTTATGTATCTGTTTGTTTTATATTGTTTATGATGCTGTTTTATGAATTTTAATGTGTTACACTTTAACTATGTCAGTCGGGCTTGTTCCCATGTGAGCTGCCCTGAGTCCCTTCAGGGAGATAGAGGCGGGATACAAAAATGAAATTATAATTATTAATCCCTACTCTTACCATGTTATGGTATTTCTGCCTCTGGTATCAATTTTTCCAAGTGTCTAGGACTGTGCAATATATCAGCGAATAATGTGTGTAGATCTGAGTAGGGGGTCCTTTTGTGGCTGACAAATGGTAATTTTGTCAACGCCGATTGTGTTTAAGTGCAGGCCAAGGTCTTTAGGCACTGCACCCAGTGTGCCAATCACAACTGGGCCCACATTTATTGGCTTGTGCCAAAGTTGTTGTTGCTGTTGCTATTTGAAACACAACAAAACTGGTACACATTCTGGCTGTTGTGTTGGATCACACATTGGACACTTCCCAAGTGTCAAGGACTGTGTGATGTATCAGTGAATAAAGTCCAGATCTGAGTAGGGGGTCCTTTTGTGGCTGACAAATGGTAATTTTGTCAGCGCCTATTGTGTTTAAGTGGAAGCCAAGACTTTAGGTACTGCACCCAGTGTGCCGATCACCACTGGGACCACCTTTACTGGCTTGTGCCAGAGTCTTTGCCGTATTATTATTATTATTATTATTATTATTATTATTATTATTATTCTGACACAAAAACACAGTATTACACAGCAAATGAGAAATATATACTCTAGATTTCGTATCACAAAATCACAAGTCGAACACTTGCCAAGTG